CCTGCCCCCCACAGGATGGCCAGTTGACCCAAGAGTGACCCCTCCCCTCCACAGGATGGCCACTGACCCAGGGATGACCCTGCCCCCCACAGGATGGCCAACTGACCCATGGGTGACTCCACCCCCCACCCCACAGGATAGCCACCTGACTCAGGGGAGATCTCCCTCCTTGCCACAGGATGACCACGGACTGTCACAAAGAGACAAGTTCGACCAGTCCCTCCCTCCCCATTTTTCTGTCAAAACAGCACCTTTCCTGGAATGGACCCATTCTAAGTGCCTCAGATGAAGCTGATCTGCCTCTCCTCACCACCGACCACAACAAGTCAAAGAGGGGGCCCAAGGGTCCTGGGAATGACCAAGGTGCCCCACACTGGGGCACCATGATTGGTTCAGGGACGAGCACATGGCCCACCAGCATCTTCCTGGCACTTTTTTGGCCAGAGATATTTATAAAATTTCTCTTGCTGCTGCTGCTGCCTGGCTGATAAAACAGGAGTCTGGGGGTAACGGGGAGCATGCCGCCTGCCCTAGAGAAAGAAAAGATTGAGCCCGGATGTACTATCTGAACCCCTACACAATGAATTCTCTTTTTAGCTTTGGTTAGTGTGACCTGAGTTTCTATCACTTGCTCACTCTACCACCCTGAGAGTCTGGCATGTATATCTCAGTCCTTATATTGCAGAGAGAAACAGGCAAAAAGGTGTCCCTGGAAATGGGAGGTGAGGGAAGGAGCGTGAACCTGGGATGGAGGAAGCCAACAGGTGAAAAACGGCATTTAGAGTCAGGGTTGAAACAGCAGGAAAGGTTCATGCACAGGTAGCAACAGGAGTGGGGGTGCAGTGAGTGCAATTAGGAGGGAGAGGGACGGAATGAACTGGAAGCTCTCTCCTTTCTTCCCATGGGTCTAGCCAGACCAAAAACACCTTGGCGGACAGGAGTCATGAAGGAATGTGAAAAGACTTTAAATGGGTTCGTCTGTTCTGCACCTGTGTGTGGCAGTATTTACACAATCCTATACACGTGAGAAAGCCACCAAACCAAACCCAAGTTCACATAAAATGAATGGCGAAAACCAGTTCTGTTCTTTATTTTATTTTAGTTTTTATTTTTTAAAGATTTGTTTGAGAGAGAGAGAGAGAGAGAACACGTGCACGGGATCACGAAGCGCAGGGTGCAGGTGCAGAGGGAGGGAGAGAAGCAGGGAGCCCGACACGAGGTTCAAACCCAGGACCCCGAGATCATGACCTGAGCCGAAGGCGGACACTTAACCGACTGAGCCACCGAGGCACCTCCCAGGTCTGTATTTTAATCACACTGTACCACTGTCAATGGCCTGGGTTTGGTGACTGAACAAGAAAGATGTTATCACCGGGGGAAGCCGGATGAACGGTACACAGAAATCCTGTACTATTTCTGCAATGTTCACGTGAGTCTAAAATTGTTGCAAACCAGGAAGTTTTAATAACCACTTCTCGCATGATAAATTGCAACTGCTAAAAGGGAAAAATCTACAGCCAAAGATACGCTATCCAGCAAGGCTTTCATTTAGAATAGAGGGAGAGATCGAGTTTCCCAGAAAACACCCAAAAATTAAAAGCAAAACCAGCCACGTCCCTGTCACACACAATGCCATCGGCCTGTGGGTCCCAAATTCACAGTCCAGCCACCCTCCTGCCCGAGTCAGCATGCACAGCCTGCCACCTGCTAAATGCCAAGTCAACACGCCTTCACCTCAGATTGCCAAGGGCTCAAATTGACACTCTTCCCCTCAAATTCCAGCCCCTGTGCTCAAGTTTGTGCACAAAAGTGGGCATAATTATAACAGCAGAATGAAGCAACCCAAACATCTAACTATTTCTGTGGAATATAGAATGGATAAAAGGAGTGTGCTAGGCTGAGAACATCTCCAACAAGCACATCAAAGAACAATACATACAGCATGATTCTGGTTAGTAAAAAAACAAACAAACAAACAAACAAACCTGGGAAGAATAAAACAAGATGA